TGTTTAAACGTTCCGCAATTTGGGACAATGTGTTTCTACGACAGATATCGTGTTCCGGCTTCGGGGCTGGGCTGGGAAAATCCACAAATCCTGATGTTCTCAGGAAGTAAATTATTTGTTTGTTTGCTGTGTTGATGACGATTCACACCACGATACTCATCAGCAGAGCGAAGCCAAAACTTACCAGGTCACAGGAAACACTTTCTCACTCTCTCTCTCCCCTCTCCCATCTTTCTCTCTCTCTTCACTCCCTCCCTTCCCTCTATTTCTCTCACAGAGCATACAGTCGATTCACATTCTGTGAAACGCTTTGAGACGTCTCAAAGACGTGATAAGCCGCCGTATCAAATGCGAGGATTATTATTATTGTTGTGCAGAAATCATGAATCTTCCTTGCTTATTTAAAGAAAGCCGAAAGGATTGATTTTTCTTTAAAGAAATGATTTTTTTAAAAAATCGGCGTTAATCGAGGGCCTGAACTGTGGCGTTAACACTGCCTCATTCTTGTCCTGGTCGGGAGAGAAGGAGCCTGACAGACCCCACTCGCTGCACATCAAAGAGCTGCTTAGAGGATTAAATAAATGCTAACCGGCAGGAGGAGAATGCTGCAATTGTTTCTGCTCTGTGTCATTAGCGCTATATATTCTGTGGATTATAGTCAGCGTGCCAGTGATCAAAGTCAGACTGGCCTATGTCGCTCTCCAGAGCGTGAGTCATTGCAAAGCCCAACTTGAAGCAAAGACATCCATCCATCTATACACCCACCCCTCCTCTCTCTATCTCTCTATCTATATCTCTCTCTATCTCTGTTTCTCTCTCTCTCTCAAAAGAAAGAGAAACGAGAAAGAAAGCTTTTTGTAGTCTTATCACGTTGAAATGTCGCAGATGGGGGGAAAAACACATTTGGAAGGAATCGCAGGCAGGTGTAGTGACTTGTTTCTGCTGATTTTTATTTTCTGGGAGCTTGAATTCCCTTCAAATCTTCAAATCCTTTCACTCCCTGGCACCTCCCTACCCCTCCAACATGGTTACCCGCCACTCCACCACCCTCCATCTCCGCTCGGCTAGCTCCGGCCTCCTACATGTCCCTTGTGCCTTCTGTTCCACCATCGGCAGCAATGTCAGCCACTGCGCCCTGAAACTCTGGAACACCCTCCCTCTATCCCTCCGCCTTGCCCCCTGCCTGAAGATCTTCCTCTTCAACTGCGCTTACGGTCGCCTCTCCATCTCCCCAGCTCGGTGCCGTGCTCCGCCACTGTCAAGCGCTCTGAGACACTACCCGGCGTGAGGGGCGCTGTATAAGTTGTCATTGTATTGAATTCTGCCGTGAGCGCTGAGATCTTCTGGTCCCTCAGTCGCTGCACGGAGCTTTCCAGTGGGAGCGAGCGCTGTGATGTCGGGAAGTGCCTCTGTCCCTTGTGATGTAAACGTAAAAAATGTAATGTGTTGTTGTTGTTGCGATCGCCTTTTCCAGGGCGGCCAGGAATGGGAGTGAGCTCTGAGAGTCAAAGGTTAAATGGGTCAAGAGTGGAGTCGGGTGTGACCCTCCGCGTAACATCACCTCTGACCTCTCGAGGACGATTCCGACTCAGTGTAACTATTGAGTGGGTTTAATGTGTGTGTGTCTGTGTCTGATCAATAACGTGGCAAAGCCCTTCACAGAGTACACCGTCAAGTGAAGTGACTATAGTTTGTGCGTAATTGCGCACAGCGGTGTCCCTCGAACGATCGCGGAGTGGAGTCACCAAATTCTTATTGTTTTGTTTTGGGAGGGATTATTACCCCTGGAAAAGCGATCTGCCAATCAACTAGCAACCGGGTTCCTACTCACTGCTGGATAAACAGAGGTGTGCGTGTGATGTAAGGAAACTTGCCTGAGGTTTCGCCCCGCCCGGGAATCAAACCCTGGTCCTCTCGCTTGCGAGCGCTCGAAGCACTGAGCTACAGGACTCCGCAAAGTGGATGGATCTGATCTCTGTGCACCCTCCCCCCCCCCCCTCCCACCCACTCATTCCCCCCACTCAGTATTGTTTTACGTACCTCAGTGGGCGGTGTGTTGTGGGCAGGGCAAACGTTGACCTCGGACACTCGGGAGGGGCTTTAAAGGATGATAAATGTTTATGGGAGAGCCCGAGCCAGTGAAACGGGATCCGGGTTATGGCTGAAGTGATTCTAATGCAGTAAAATGCTTTGCAGTCCAAACCACGCTCCGAGGCTCAGTATCACTCTGACCCTCAGCGGTCTGTCTAGCTTCAGAGGGTCATTGCAGTACAAGCGTTGGTACAAAACACAGAGATTACCAATTAGAGGCAAGGCCATTAACCCCTTGAACTCGCTGTAGACCACCCATTATATGTTAATGCTGGTCCATTTGAGAGCAACGAGGTGGAATGGAAACTAAGCCGAGTGCTAATCTGTGGCACCACGTCTGGCAACAGCAGTGCTTGAGTGGGAGGGGGGGGAAGGGAGAAGGTTCAATTAAAAGTGTCCTCCCTCCCCCACACTGCCACCGATACACTCTGGTTGTTTTAATATAAAGGCTTTCGAACCAGCTTCCCACAAAGTGAAGAGATAGTGGGGCATAGGAGTGGGGGTTCAAACCCCATGTCAACTGGCTGCTGTGTTTCGCCCACAAAATACACAGTCAATTCACTTTACAGTATGTCCTTTATGTCCTTTGAGACGTCTCAATGACATGATAAGGAGCTATGTCAAATGCAAAGATCATTAGTAGTACATGTCTGTTTCTCTCTCTCTCTCTCTCTCTCTTTCCGGCTCTGTGTGTGTTTCTGTCTTTTTCTGTGTGTCACGTGTGTGTGTGTGTGCTCCTGTGTGTGAATGTATGTTTCGCTCTTTTCTTTGTGTGTGTGTATGTCTCTCTCCAGCTCTGTGTGTATCTCCCTCTATGCTGTTCCTGTGTGTGTGTTTGTGTGTGTCTCTCTTTCTCTCTCTCGCTCCTCTGTGTGAGTATGTCTCTCTCTCTCTGTCTAGTCTGCCTTTCTCTTTTGCATTGGTTGTCTCCCTCAAGCGCTTTGGGACGTCCTCCCGACGTGAAAAGCGCTATATCAAATGCAAGGATTATTATTACAAGTGCTCTTGCACTCAGTCTCGCTGGGTTTGCTATCTCTCACTTGTGTGATCTCACTCTCACTCAATTGTTATCTTGCTCATTCTCTCTCTGGCTGTTTCATTTCCTGCCTCGGTCTCTGTATCTGTCTTGTTTACCAGCGTGCTTTATCAGCTTACTCACGCTTTCCATAGTCTCTGATTCTCACACTTGATTTTTACACTTCTTTCTGGATTGTCTTTCGCTTCCTCTCTGTCCGTCTCTCAATATCTATCTGTTTGTCCGTCTGTCTGTCTCTAATAATGATAATAATCCTGGCATTTGATATAGCGCTTTTCATGTCTTCTCGACGTCACAAATTGCTTCACAGAATATGATGTAAAGTGAATTGACCGTATATTTGTGGGTGAAACGCGGCAGACAATTTCGCACCGCAGCGTCCCACAAACAGTCGTGGATTAAAAATGACCAATTTATTATTTTTTTGAGGGATTATTATTAGGCGTGTGGAGTAAGGAAACTTGCCCAAGATTTCACCCTGCCTGAGATTGAACCCAGGTGTCTCGCTTGCAAGGCGAGTGCTCTAACCACTGAGCTATAGGACTCCACTGCCTCTACCTCTCTGGCCATCTCTCTGTCTATCTCTATTCTCTATCTTTTTGTCATCTCCCTGTCTCCCTCTACTTCTCTGTCTGTCAGTCTGTCCATCCCTAACTCTCTGTCTGTCCCTCTCCCTCTCTCTCACCTGCTCCGTATATCTTTCAGAGTCTCGTTTTAAACAGGTAATCTCTAAAAACTTGAGCTCTAGCAAAAGAGTGCGAGAAACAGAGAAGATATCAGTATCCATGTTGTATCAGATACCCCTATGGTTTTCAGTGACAACAGTGTTGAGTTACCCATGTTTGGCTTTCAGTGTTTATTATTACCAAACCTTGAAGGTTTCTGTAATTAATTCCACTGTTGAGGGGGAGGGGACGAGGTCACTGAGCCCTTGGGTGAATATCAGCTTCCCAATGCCAGCCAATCTCACCGACTGTACCGCAAGCCACAGGAAGCCTCGGCTACAGACTTTGGGTGTCGCTGGCACGAAACGGGGCAGAAAGCGCGGTGGGCATCAGTCTTTACCAAACCCTCGCCTCTCGCTGTCTGTCCCCGGCACCTTGTTGTCAAATGGTTCAGGCAAAGAAAATTGACGGGGTTCAGTTTCATGAAATCTAAATGTGCTACGGGTTTTTGTCTGGAATCGTGGCCGAGATTTGTCTGGGAGCAGAGTTTCATGGGGGGGGCTGTGGGTGCGCGTGTGTGTGCCTGTGTGTGTGTGTGTCTGTGTGGTTATGGGGTGGGGGTTAAGAGCTTAAGAACATAAGAATTTGCTTTGGTAAAAGAAGACGAAGATCCATTCAGTTTGCCTTCCACCATAGCAGATGAATGCACATGTTGAGTTAGGTTATGTTTATGTGCGCGTGTGTGTGTGGTGGGGGGGGATTTGTTTGTGTGTGGGGGGGGGGTCATGTGTGTGTGGGAGAATTGGTGTGTGGGTGTGTGTGCATGTGTGTGTGGGGGGGGGTGTTTACGTGTGTATGTGAGGGGGGGGAGGTGATTCCAATCACCAGTGTTTCCAAAATCTAAATAAATGTTGACCCCACCTCCCCCCACACACACTTCCCATCCACACACACACACACACACACACCTGGAAAATTTTTATTCCTGGAAAAACATAGGTAATAGATACGTTATTCCCAATTGTCAGCTAGCCCCCGCCCACCCTTTCCCTCCCCCCCAACACTATCCTCATCATGGTGACCTGGCTGGCGCAGTGCGAGATGCCGCAATGACAGTCACTACACGTGGCTGAAGAGACGTCCGTTGGGAGAGGTTTATTTGGGACGAGCTGAAGCTGTGTCTCTCTCTCCCCCCCCACCCCCCGCAGGTTACAAGAGTCTCACCGTCTCGCCATCAAGGTGATCCGCAGGATGCAGTATTTTGTCGCCAAGAAAAAGTTTCAGGTGAGGGTGAAAGTTATTTTTCCTCCTTACATTTCCGCCTCCCAGAGAAGAGGAGTCTCTCTCTCTCCCGGTGTCCCAGCTATCAGTCCCCCCCCACCATAAAAATTGTTCACTCACTCCACAACCCTTTGTGAGACGCTGCTCTGCGCAAATCGGCTGCCGCGTTTTGCCCACAGAACGCACAGTCACTCCACTTTACGGTATATCCTGTGAAGCGCTTTCAGACGTCTCGAGGGGACATGATAAGGCGCTGTATCAAACGTAAAGGTTATTATTATTCTTGTCCTCGTCTTCAAGGCCCTCCCCGGCCTTGCTCCTTCCTACCTCTGTGACCTGCTAACCCCATATCCACCTGTCCTCTCCCTCCGCTCAGCAAGCTCCGGCCTGCTACAGGTCCCCCGCCCGGCCCACCCCCCACCAGCGGGCAGGCCTTCAGCCTCTCAGCCTCCACCCTTTGGAACTCCATCCCACATTCCCTTTGCCTCGCTCGGTCCTTTGCCTCCTTCAAGACACGTCTCCTCTTCGATCGCGCCCTTGTGCACCCTCCTACCCCTACCTTGCCCGATCACAACCCCCTCCCACCCCCTCCAGCTCGAGTCCAAAATCCCTGATTGTCCAGCGCTTTGGGATGTCCTTCCGACGTGAAGGGGTGCTATTCAAATGTGATTGTGTATTGTATTATTACTATTATTATTGTTATCATTAATATTCTCGGTTGTGTTTTTTTTGCTCTGCAGCAAGCCCGCAAGCCCTACGATGTCCGAGATGTGATTGAGCAGTATTCCCAGGGCCACCTCGACCTGATGGTGCGGATCAAGGAACTGCAGAGAAGGTACTTACCCGGCTCGGTTGGGACCACAAGTTTTAGAGCGAGGAGATGCAAAACCTGTCACGTCGGATGGGTCAGCCTGCAAGACACAGCGGCCAAAGGGAGTTTGGGTTTACGCTCGATCTCCATTGTTGCCCCCGCTTTGTTATGCCATTGACCTCTATCGTTACCCCTTTTCCCCTTGCGACCGGCTAGGTCCGTTCCGCACACCGTGCTCCGGATGACCGCTTTGCGGGTCATCGGGTCACTTCCTGGTGCTTACATGGGTCTTTGGAGTTGACGTACGGATCAGCCATGACCTAATACGATGGTGGAACAGGCTCGAGGGGCTGAACGTCCTGCTCCTGTTCCTATGTTAATACAGCTTCTCCCCTTCACCCCTAGACTGGAGCAGTCGTTAGGAAAGCCGTCGATGTTCCTGTCTGTCTCAGGTAAGTACACCAAAGTTGTCTTGCCCTCTGTCACGATCAGACTAGGCCGGACAAGAACGGCGGATCACAAGAGATGCTCTTCCCAAGTTTGGTGAAAAGTTCTTCAGGGTTTGCAGATATCTGGAGGAAACTTAGCCCCACGTGCTCAGTGCAGTCACTACTCTCTCTCTGATTGTCCATGCTGTAATCGTGTGGGCGATCACTGCTTCCCAGACCCATCGCTCCCCGTCCTCCCAAATACTATTAAGTTCACTCCAAGCAGCGACCTACACCCTGGGTTGGAAAATTGAGACATTTCGTCATGGGTTCGATATGATATTTAGCACATGTTGCATTTTCAGGGGAATTGTTTGGCGTATAAATTCACAAGCACCAATTCTCTCGTGAAAGGTAGAGTTTTACACACAAACAGCAACCCCCCCCACCTTTGACTGCACTATCAAGGCTGTATTTGCCTGCAACCCACAGTCACTGCATTTCACAGGAAAATCCTATGAAGCACTTTGGGATGTCCTCCCAACGTGAAAAGTGCTGTATCGAATGTAAGGATTATTATGACTGATTAATTATTATTATTATGACAAGATTAGTGTTAATTTCGCAACGGAAAGGCTTGCTTCATTCAGTCTGAGCGCTCGAGAGCTCGGCAGGGAGTGGGGTCCAGTGGCAAGGCTGTTGTGAGGTTATTTTAACAGAGTTTTAACACATGTCTCTCATATCTAATTGTTTGCTCTTCTCTCCTCCCTCTCTGCCCCCCCCCCCAATGGATGTGGCGGTGCAGAAAAGAACCAAGATCGGGGGAAGAACACGATCGGAGCTCGACTGAGCCGAGTGGAGGAGAAGGTAAGAGTGGGGTCTCCTCTCTGGGTGTGTCAGTTGTTTGCTACAGTCACGTATCTTGGCTGTTTCTCTGACCTTCCCCGTCCAGGCTTTTCTGGGCAGTATCGCTCACACACTCACAGACTCGCACTCTGGCTCGTTGTCAGACTCCGCTGGTGTCCAGCGTCCCGGGGACACCACCCCACGTGAAGGGCGCTATATAGATACAAGTTGTTGTCGTCCTCGTGTACACGATTGGGAGCACGTCTTGTACACTCACAGAAGGATAAACACACGTGTACACGCAGACGCACACGCCTAGGTGTGCAAGTGCCTTGCCAGCCAAGCTGGAGCGCAGTCTCCCGGGGTTCAGCGCTGACGGCCCTCCCGCTGACCGTTGGGAGAATCTCCGCTCGCGTCTCCTGAACGAGGAACGCGGTCGGGAATTGCTGAGGTCACAGACCGTCACTGAACGTATTCCGGGCAGCGCGGCAACCGCCTCAGCGATCCCGCAGAGAGTAAGTGCCTCATCAAGTCGTCAAGACGTCTCAAAGCCCTTCATGGGACATACTGTAGAGTGGAGTGACTGTGCGTTTTGTGGGCGAAACGCGGCAGCCAATTGCGCACAGCAGCGTCCCCGCAAACAGCTATGAAACAAATGACCAATTTTTATTGTCGGCAACCCGAGGATTTCACCCTCCCTGAACCTAGTGGTGCCCGTGGCCCATTTGTTGCCCCAGTGCAGGGCGTTGATGGCTCATTTCTCCCCCCGCCCCCTCATCCCCCCCCCCCCACCCCCAGCCCTCTCCCCTCCTCCGAGGAGCTTGCCTTTACCCTCTCGGCCAGTGGGGGGAGCTAGCAACCTGTTTTCGGGCTTGCAAGCATTGTAGCCTTCCTCTCCTTTCTGGGTTCCTGAAGGGTTAACGGCAGCTTCGGGTCTCGTTGTCGAATCATTAACCTGTCGCTGCCCTTGTATACACGCTCTCTCTCTCGCTCTCGCCTCTCTCAACACAGCCAGATCTACCTGAGCCTTTCGGCTGTTAGCTCCATGTATTTGGATTTTTCTCCCTCCAAAAGCACGACGACAGAGAGAGAAGAAATTAAATCTCACCCCCTGTCCCCCGCCCACCCACCCACCGTATACCCCCCCCCACCCCGAAAACATAAGACCCCAATGGCTTAGAGCCAGGAGACCAAAGAGTGCACAGATTGGCAGCCAGCCCACCAACCAGCTCATCTGACAGCTCTCAACAACAGTAATAACGCTAATGAAAACAACATGGCCTGTAGTTTCATTGACTTAATTTTACTAGGTAACAACTTACAAATAATTTGGATTGAAACAATATGGGAACTTGCCCTCTTCTTTCCCCTCCCCCCACCACGCTCGCTTCTATCCTCCTCCCCCACACCTCCCCCACCCCCATCCCACCCAATTACTCTCTCCCCCGCTTTCCCTTCAAGCAAACATGACCAGATACCGGGGACATTAGGCTTCCTGATCATTATTTAGATATACCCCATCCCCCCCCTCCCACCCCCATTCACACGCACATAAACACTGTTTCCTTGCAAGAACGTGAGCACTTTTGAAGGAGAGAACGTTTTAAGGATAGATGTGGACAGTCATGTTATCTCCCCGTTAAGTTGAGCCACTGTTTCAAGCCACCAAAAGGCTCTTCCCCCTCTTCATCCAAACCTCTCTTGCCATCTTGTGACGAGGATTGTTAGGGGAACGTGGCGGACAGATTTGCGCGCGGCAAAGTCCAGCAAACGGTCATCAGTCGATCTTTACCTAGGGGTAGGACAGCACCTCCCAATAAGGCACTGCCCCCCCCAGCGCTGGACTGGTTTAGCAACTGACAGCCAGCAGTGACCAGTGTGGCGGTCACACTTTGGGACAAAAGTCCGGCTTTTGTGTGGAAGGAAGTCAAAGGTGTGTTTTTACCAGAGATGAACACAGAGAAGAAAATTTACCTTTAAACACATTTATAAAGCTGCCCACACCCCCTCCCCACCCAAATCCCTAAACCTTCTCCCCCTGCTCACGCCGCTGGTCTGTAGCTGCGTTGGGAAGATATGAGTTCACCAGCTTATATACGGTGGTTGAATATTACAGAGCTGTTGCCCGTCTTCAGGAAATCCTTGGAATGTCTTTGAACGGAGACGTTAATCTGGCTTTTAAGCTCCATCTCCGAGTGAAACGATCTTGATATTTCGCCGCTTTTCATGTTATTCCGACTGAGTGCCTTCTCTCAGCAAGTCACGACGGGCAGGTCACAGGAGACTTCTCCACCTGCCTACTGAGCACATAATAATAATAATAATAATAATCCTTGCATTTATTGTGGCGCCTTATCACACCGTTGAGACGTCTCAAAGCGCTTCACAGGATACGCTGTAAGGTGAATTGACTGTATCTCGTGTGGCCGAAACGCAGTGGCCAATTGCGCCCGGCAGCGTCCCACGAACAGCCGTGGATTGAGTGACCACATTTTTTTAATATAAAATCCCAAAGGCTATTCCTCCACTTTGGCTCGTATCAAAGACACCTTCAATATATTGACAGGGTGGTGGTGGTGGGGGGTGTGGATAGTGTTCAGGTGGGGGGGTGGGGTGGGGGAGACTGCTTTATAAATGCTGCCGTTTGTTTCTGGAACTGCACTGCCTGAAGTGATCTGCTCTCTATCAGAAGATTAGCCACCCTCGATAGAGCTGCCCCGTAAACTCAGCGGTGAGTGAGTGGGTGTTGTGCTGGGATCTCGAGCTCGTTTCCAGTAAGTGTTTGCTCGTCAGTGCAGATTAGCAGAAGAATGTTCAGTTCCAGCCCAAGGACACACTGGCCAGTGCGCTGGCAAAGCTTAGTTGTTGCTGAGGTTCACTGCACTGATTGCATAATCTGCCCGACAGTCATTCTCATCTCCTGCTCTCTCTCCCTCGCTCCCCCCCCCCCCCCCCCGCCCCCATTCGCACGCTTGCTCACCGACCATCACCGTTTCACTTATCACCCGCTCGCTTGCCGCTCATTCGCTCTGTGTCTCCCGAGACACTAACTCTGGGTGTAGGGTGGTATAAACCTGCAAGTTGTTGTTGTTGTTGTCGTTCCATCTCGTGTGTGTGTGTGTGTGTCTCTCTCTCTGCCGTGTGTGTGCGTATCTGCCTTTCACTGTCTCTTTTGTATGTTGATGTCTCATCTCTCTCTGTTTGTCTCTCTCTGTCTTTTCTCGCTGTGTTTCTCTTTCTCTCTCTGTTTTTCTCACTGTTTGTCTCTCTTTCTCTCTGTCTGTAACTCTCCTTGTCTCTCTCTCTCTCTCCTCCTCTCTCTGTCTCTCTCTCTCTTTCTCTCCCCCGTCCCTGTTGTGTGCCAGATGAGAAGCTACCTTGCATTATCAGTCAGCGGTCTCTGCTCTATGGAAGTATCTGCCTGCTGCAGTAAGTAAGAGTGGAGATGGCTCTGTGAGGTTTGCTCCCCTCCGTGGGCTGCTTCTTCAAATCATTTCTTTTGTTTGAAACCTTGGAAGTGAGCCTCAAATTCCACCAACATGGGGAGAGGGGGAGAGAACGAGAGAGGGTCTGTGGTAAGCTGAGACGACAGTGCACACTTAAAACTCACCGTGCGCACAAGAACAACAACAACAACAACAACTTGCATTTATACAGTGCCCCTGACACACATCCACCGCCTGACACATCCGCCCTCTTATAACTGTTGCTGAAGCATTCACTGCCTCCTCGCTGGCTCACGTTTATCAGAACAATTCTCCACTTCACTCAGAAGGTTAAATAAAACCTTTTCGTCTCCAGTTGTGGTAAACCACCCCCCCACCACCCCACCCTCTTCCCTCACCTCTCCCCTCCTACCACCCCTCAGTATTTCCACTCCTCCCCTTTCTCCTCCCCACCCCCCCCAAATCCGTGACTGTTTAGTGCCATCTTGTTATCTCTGGACCTGCAAAAGCTTTGGACCAAGGTAGGCAGACAGGCAGGGAGGAGTGCAAACCGTTGTCTGTTCATCGCCTCGAGACCTCATCCCGACATGAAAGGCGCTGTAGAAAAGCAATTGGTGGTGGTGGTTGTTGTTGTTGTTGGGTGATGTGTTTCGGTTGGGATCCATCACGCGTGCTGCAATTTCACCTAAGCTTTTCAACCCCTGACGATTTTTCTCCCCTCTCCCTGACCCCATCACATCCTCCCACTGTCCCCGACCCGTCCGAGGACGGAGGGAGAGGCTGAACTGGCGGGGTTTCAGTGTGAGAACGAGTTCCGCCCTAGGCTGGGTGCTGTAGGTGTCGGCCTGTGGCAAGTGGGTAGCACTCTTGCCTCTTTGAGTCAAAGAGTTGTGGATTCGAGTCACACATCAGGGACTTTGAGCTCATGGTCTAGGCTGATGATGCAGCGGGGAGAGTGCTGCCTTGTCGGAGACGTTTGCCGAGGCTCTGCGCTCTGTTCGGGCGGATGTTAAAGATCCCGCGAAGCTATTGGAAAAGAGAAGGGAGTTTCTCTCTCCCGGCATCCGGGCCGACAATCTCCCCCAGATAAAATTGCTTACGCACTGCCTGGCTGTTTGTCGGGACGAGGCTGTCTGCAAAAATTGGTTGCCCCGTCCGCCCTGCAAAAACACACAGTCACTACACTTGGCAGTGTATCCTGGCAAGCGTTTTGAGACGTCCTCCTGATATGAAAGGCACTGTTATCGAATGGGAGGCCGAGAATAATAATAATAATAATAATAATTCTTGCATTTTATATAGCGTCTTATTACATCGACAAGATGTCTAAAAACTGTTCACAGGCTATACTGTAAAGTGAAGTGACTGTGTATTTTGTGGGAGAATCAAGGCAGCCAATTGCGTGCAGTAGGGTCCCACAAACAACCTCAGAGCGAGTTACCAATTTTATTTGGGGGATTATTGACCAGGACACTGGGAAAGACAAACTCCCTTCTCTTTTTGAATAGCATCGTGGAATCCACCAGACGGGACCTTGTGTCATCCAAATGATGGCACCTCCGACAATGCAACACC